GGGCCAGTACAGGGGAGAGAAGGAAGTCGGTGGAGAAATCGGGGCGGTAGTGCGGACCAATGTAGAGGATGATCATGGCGCGCATCATTTCGGGGGTAAGGATACGGTCGTTGAAGTAGGATATCATCGAGGAAGTGGCGAGGCGCGTTTTGATGGCCGTGGCCGGGGATGCGGGGCCCGGAGATGGGGGTTGAGTTTGCAAGGGCGTGGGAGGCATGGTGGGTGTGGTTGAGTTTGGGGTCTGTGTGGTGCTGGGGTCGACTCGTGGGAGAGGGGGGGTGGCGTCGTCTTTACCGGCGTGGGCAGCGGAGAGCTTAATCATGGTCTGCGGAGATTCGAGGACACGCTCGCTTTCCGGCACTGACCCGTTGACCATGTGTGGCTTACCCGAGCCTTCTTCGTCGCTGTCTGAGTTGTCTGAGCCGAAGGGGGTGTTTGGAGCGAGATGGCGGTAGTCTTCGCTCTTGTGTCTTAGAATCGGCTTGTTCGTCTTCCTCACCCTTCGATCGCGTATCAGAGCCATCTGCTCGTCCGACATCCAGTTTCCAATGTTCATGTCGAGCGCTGGGTAGATGAGCACAACACCGGTCGGTGGTGGTAGTGCGTATTCGCCCTGCCATCTCCTCGTCTCCGTGGAGCCAGTCTGAAGGATCATGAGAACCATGCCTACCGCGAGATTGCCACCAGCAGAGTCACCAGAAACCACAATCTTGGGTTCCAGCTCGCCTGAGAGGCCCATGCAGCGCCCCCTCGAAGCAATGATGGCGTGGTAAACATCATAGCACTCGTTCAACGCGTACGGATACGGATGTTCCGGCGCCTTCTTATAGTCCAGGCTCAGAATCGGTAGACCGGACTTGCCCGCCCAGCCCATGAGCTTATCATCATGATTCCTCGGATCCATGGCCACGAAACCACCACCGGGAACGTCCAAGACGACGTTGTCCTGTTTCTTCAGCGCACTCAACGGTCCGTCAAAGTACAGCCAGCCAATCACCGGCTCCGTGTACGAGCTCTGCTTTGGCCGGGGAATCCGAATCTTGCGCGGCGGATACTTCATCCACCGCGGCCTCATCATGCTCGTCAGCGCGCCCAGGTAGGGCGTCGTGCCCTTGTTCCACGCCACACGCAGATGATCCACTGTGAGCGTCGCCCTGACCTTTCTCACCTTCTCGTCGGCCTGCTCAGCGCAGATGAGGTAATAGATGCTGAAGACGATGGAGAGCAAGTCGCGCGCTCGCTTGCGTTTGATCTTCATGGCCGTCCAGAAGCCCGCATCTAGCGCGGTGGTAACCCATGTGGCGCGGAAATAAGAACGAGTGTAGAGATTGGCAAGTGGTTCGGGGCATTCGAGGCCAACAAGCTTGCCGAAATTGCGGGCAATGTAAAGGTAGATCAGCGTGATGAGGACGGATTGCCAGACGGTGAGTTTGCGGGAGAGGAGGGCGGAGATGCGGCGAAGGATGGGGGGCCCGTGACGGTCGCCTCTGGGGTTTCGGTTAGTTCTGGGTAGAGGGAAAGAGAGGAGTTGATGGTGGAGATTGGAGAGGTCAAACCTGCCTGTAGAGGTAAAACGACCAAAAGGACACCACGGCCAGCACCTGAATCTTGCGGAACTGGACCGATGGCCGACCAAGGACATGGTCAATCATAGCTGTCGTCCCTTGTTTCCTTGACCCCAGACGATAGCACTCTACCCCCAGCTCTCAGCCCGCGTACAGTGGTAAGAGTATATCAGTACTTTTGCTCGTGTGGCCACCGCACTAGGGACCGTAGGTCATGAGATCTCTTTCCACGTCCTTGAAAAGACCCCAGCTCTTCCCTTTGCAAGTCCGCGTTCGTCCGTGATGTAGGTATCGGTCGTCCAGTCGCATTCACATGCAAGATGCACATCCACAATGGGTACATGCACATATCACACACACACACACACACACACACACACACAATTGCGAGTACCGTCCAGAGTCTAGTTTGCGCGTCCAATGTCAAGGGGAGAAAAGAAGGTCAGTCGGCCAAAGCCCGCCGTGGGTAAGCGCGTCGGATTGCGTACTGAGGCATTATCGCTGGGCGGGCTGGTGGTCGCATGTGACGGAGAGAGAGGGAAGGGAGACAGGATCCGTGCTTATTTTGCGCAGTTGCGCACATGTGAAAGCGGCCATGTCATCATTCTCTCGGCTTTGTTGCCGCGGGTTCGTCATGACCACACCAGCCACATGCTATTTACGGCGCGGGGAGGGGGGGAGGCAGGGAGAGAATGCTGCTTGGATTGCGCGCTTTTGGGGGGCCACCATTACCCTACAGACTGAGCCCTGTGCCCCAAGAGAGAAGAAGAGGAGGAGGAAGCATGTTTCATAGCATGGGCACCGTACCTAAGCGGGCGCGCGATTTTGCGAGTCCTGCTCAGCTGACGGCTGCTTGGGGGACCGCCATGGCAAGCACCTGTTGCAAGACAAGGGCGGAATGCAAAAAAAAAGAAAAAAAGAAAGAAAAAAAAGAGAAAATGTGGATTGTTGGCCGTGGCTGCAAGGGGCAAGCACATGAACGGAGTCAAGAGAGAGAGAGAGAGAGAGAGAGAGAGATGGGGGTTATCCCGCCAATACCGTACTAGTTGTCTCGGCTAGGTTGAGGATCACGTTACTTGTCTTGTGCCATCAACACAGCCAGGATGTAGCAGTGGCAAATCACATGATACTCAAACTACCCGACCGCATGAGTTACCCTCTACCTGCCTGCCTGCCCGCCCGCCTGACATCTGCGACATCTGCGTCAATGCACAACACACCCACGTACGGCACTCCACAGCTAGCACTCGCAGTCTACTCAACCCGACAACATGGACAACGGACATGGTGGGTTCATGCGAGAACTGCAAAACATGATCAACACAAGCACTTGCAATCCGACAATCAAACGGCTCCCGTAGCTTCACACACCTCATCACCCAAACCATCAACCACTCCTCATACCCTGAATCCACTCATTGACCTCGAACCCCACCCGCCTCAAATCCGCAACCGCAAACTGCCCCTCCCTCTCCTTGAAAATCGTCAGACATCTAACCGCATCGTCCATCTCCGGCTTAGCCCCCGCAAACACATCCTTCCCCTCATACGTCCGCACATACAATGTCAGATCGGGTCCCACCGTCCCACGCCACAGCGTCGCCATCCACTGCCAGTGGTCCGTCGCGCTGTACGCATCCTGGATCGGGATGAGCGACGCAAACGCGACCGAGGCTGCGAGCTGGAAGGTCGGTAGGATGATGACCGGTCGGAGGCTCACGCTGGGGATCATCGACGTGGGCGAGGATTCCGGTGGTGTGGCCGAATCCTTGCGGTCCATTTGGCCTTCTCTGACGGCAGCATACTGGCCTGCCGAGGCCGTGGCCGGTGTGTCCTGCGGGCTTTTGGCTGTAGGCTCGGCGGTGATGTATCGTATCATTTCCCTACTCTTGCCATGCCATTCTTTGATCAGATCGAGGTAGCTTTCAAACCCTACCTCTTCGCCTTCCTCGGGCATCTGAGGCGGTTCCATGATGCGGGGGGCGTACTCCTCTTGGCGGAAGAGATAACTGTTGAGCCATTTGGAGAGCTCCTCGACCGCGGCGGGGTCGTCGCCCTCGACCGCAATGATGGCACCACGATTGGATTCAGTGCATGTTGGATCAAGCGCCCTATAAGGAGGGTTGATGCGGCCGAGCAGCTTGATCTTGTTGGCATAGGGAAACGCATTCAGCACCTCTTCTACAGTCCTAGGGCTGGATTCTGGCGCGTGCGGACCCGTCTCGATCATCGACGGTCTCCGGCCATCTCTAGGGGTGCGCGGAGGTGGCATGGTCGCACTATTAGGAGGTGAGTATCGCACATGTATCGGAGGAAGCGAATCACGGCGACTCGCATGTTGGGCGTAGTAAGGTCCCTCTGGCCTGCGGCCATTGTTCGTTGGCGGCGCTGCATAATCAAATCGACGCTTCTTATTGGGCGTAAGAGGACTGTACATGGCTCCATCTTCACGCATAGAGCCAGAGACTTGAATGTTGCTTAGATGGGATGGAACATGAGCTCGGCGGCGGACTGGTGACTCAAGCGTAAGATTGGTCATGATGGGGAGGTACCGGGTTGTGGGAGTCAACCCTTCAGACACGTTGGGAGGCGGCAGCGTTGGCGTTCCAGCCGAGTCAAGGAACGGACTGGTGGGCGTTCTAATACTGCGGCCACCGCACCTGGGACAACGATATCTGTCAACAGTCGTATGTTGTCCCGATGGATTCAATGGAGACGAGCCAGGCTTGCCACCCCGTCGAGGCTGATAGCGGTAATCAGGATACTGCTCGTGATGTCGAGCCTTTTCTTCCTGCAAGACGCATAAGCCCGGCTGCAAGAGAGCATCTGTCAACTTGACTCACCTGTGCTAGATCTTGCCAAACCTTCTTGTGCTCTTCACTTAGCGCTTTCCATTGCTCTCCGATGATCTTGGAAATGTCAGGGTTGTTGAGGCCGGGATTGCGAGCAATGATATTTTGCTGGTGATGCTGCCGATAAAGGATAAATGCTGCCAAAGAGTTAGCGGTGAGTTAAGACTTTGAGTGAACAAAGAACCGTGTTCTTTGTCCTCTTCCCGTTCATTCCAGCTCTACCGCCCGATAGACGATCACGGAATCTTTGACAAACAAACGGGCAGTACTCACCATTCCGTGGGCGGGGTATCTTTGGCTCCGGCAAGCAGAGACAGACGTGACCTGTGTGATCAGAAGACGCTGTAGAAGTAGCACTTTGCGGTGGTTTATCATCAACAGGACTGGAAATCTCATCAACCCCGTCCCCATTCACCACGACCTCCTCCTCCAGCGATGCAACTCTCTTCTTCGTTGAACGGGGAGGTGTGGCATCAGGCGACGTTGGCTGCTCTTCTCTTTTGCTGTGCTCAGTCGGGCTTGACGTGGGCGCCGTGCGGGTTTCTTGGATTCTGCTACTTTTGCGCAAGCTCCGCGAGGGTTTCGCCGCATCATCAGTGAGAGAAGAGGTCGAGGCACTGTCGCTAACCTGCATGTTCGATTTGACGTATCGCCTGGGCACGTTGAAGAACGTCGCAACAGGAGCTGGAGGTTGATAGGGTGATGTCGACCGAATAATCGGCGGCAGTACTCGACTTGCCAGCATTTTGGACGTGAACGACAAGCCAGGTGATCTAATGAGCGTCTTTGAGAACAGAATTCATTGTTCCTTCAACGCGAAGGAAACAACGCCGGATGAGCCTCCGAGCATTCTCAGCTTCTTTGACGATGTTATGCAGGCCCCTCGTAAACGCCATTGCGTCTCTGGCGATGTAAGCAGACGATCCAATGATCTCATTGTTCCAGGGTGGCTGCGGCCATAATTTGCTGAGGGGGTTCTTTGTTCTCGCAGTATCCCGAAACGGCCGAGACAACGCGCTGCGCGCACTTGTGAGACATTCCAGCGCTAAAAGCACAAATTATGTAAGGGGGTCCCCCATTGCAGCCTCCTTCCACAAATATTATGGATTCATTCAGTCTCGGGAGCTGGGTACACCATGCCGCATCTTGGGCAATAAACGTTCGTTGTGTTATGATGCAGTCTATAACTGCCTTGTTCTCCTGTCGGTCGGACCTGAGCCAGGTTTTAGACAATGACTTTCAGCACGTCCTCTTTTAATATCCAGGAGGGAATTTCAATTCAAACTTCGCCCCCTCTGGTACCTTGGATTCCTGAGCGTTGACGGCGCCCTGCATTGCTTCTATATTGGCCGTCTGGTTCCCGCGTACGAGGCTGGCGGCCTGATCTCCGATTAGACGATGGACAGTACCACTGAAATGGATATCATCCCTGCGATGTGGTTAATATGAGACAATGCGTTTGTGTCGCAAAAGGGCTTACCAGAACAGATGTTGGGATGGATCCTCGCACTTCTCAAAAGCAGCTGTTTGCAGGTCGTCCTGTTTCGATGCCAGACAGGGTTGCTCGATATATTCGAAGAGTGGCGCCTGTTTGCCTGTACCAGATGCATCCGAGATCTGTTTAGAGTGGAGCTGTCCGACTCTAATCTGTTCCACAATCAAGGTGTTTGGATCTGGTACGACAACCTGGCCTTTCGCCCATTGTGTCGCAGCATGAAGCAAGACAGTGTTCCAGTAAGACCACAAAAAGACCATGAGGTGTTGGGCCTCAGCAAACTGCTCTGGTGCAGCGTGCCTAGTCGATTGAAACCATGGCAAAATGGTAACATCAATCACTGAGAGAAGAGAATCGCAGTTAGCGGTTGTGACATGCGTACTTCATCTGCGGTTGACCACTCACTCCGGGGGATAATGACTTTAAGAGGAAAGTCGACCTCTGCTGCCAAAACATCCAGATTCTGGAACAGCTTCTGGATACTATTCTCGATTGCTACCATGGCATACTGCTTCTCCAGCGACGAGTACTCCATGAGCTCCCATAAACCAAAGTAGACAGTGAAGACTGTCCATTCATTCTCAGCTTTACGAAATCGCTCGGGAATGTGACGCCTGCCTTGATCGTAAATCAAGAATTGTCGCACTTGTGTCTTGAGGTCGTCTCTCGTTTGAATGCCATTGCTTTTTGCGCCCTTGGCTAACTCATACAGACTAGAATCGACAAGAGAGCCAACCTGTCTAGCCTCTGTATCCGATGACACTGAGCGCGCGAAGTTTTCGAGATGGTCGCATTTGAGCTGCTAGATGTTAGCTATAAGCCTATGGGCGAAATCAACGAGTGTTCACGTACCTCCCTGCACAGCGTTTCCACCCACACCTCTCCACGATCAGTCTTCTGTCGAGATATCTCAGACGATGAGACCCGATAATTCTGTGTGTCAGACCAATCATTTCCAAAGACAACTACGCGATGGTGATTTCTTCGCCACATCAACTGCACCTTGTTTTCGAAGTAGTCTGACTGATGTACCCATATGAAGTAGAAGATCATCAGGATTGTGGCAATTGCGCACACATGTAGCCTTGAAACAAACCTCATCGTGTCTACGATTAGATTGAGTGGGTTTTTGGGCGCTGTAAGGTGAGTTGAAAGCCAAAAGAGAATGTACGAGTAGTGAGACTAGGTCGTAGACATGCTTGCGGACAACGGTTCAGCCTGTCTTGCTTCAGCCTGGCAGTCCGGGAAACATAGCTGCGCCTTGTTTTGACTGCGCTGACCGGGAGGCGTGCTCCGAGATCCAAGGAACCATTCTTTGGCATTAATACCAAAAGTGGGTATGCGTCGCCTTCGCGGTATCAAGTTAGCAGTCTGACTGCGTCACTCGGTGTTCACTATCAAGGCAATGACAGGTCTTCAATATGCGCTTTGTTCTGCATGTGCCAGCAAGCCTTGAGTCGTACTTGTGAGTAAATGACGAATCAGCTGTCCACAGCGTTTGAAAAACATGTTTACGGGCGTGTACGTATGCAATTTTAAACACGCGCTGTTCGCTCAGAAGGATGTGTAGCTGTGCCGGATGCATCCTGACGCTCGGAGGTTCGGCAATGCGGCCCCACTTGACCAAAGCTTCAACTCCAGTCTACTCCTACAATACTTGGCGACTATGTACCTTGAATCGAAAGGTGATGGTGACTCTCCGCGCAGACGCAATTGTCCGACGGGTTTATAATGACATAATGCTTGAACCCTTCGTCGTAAGGAACTCTTGATACTGTACTGTGACTGAGTCCGATGTATACGGTACTGTGAATTGTGAAAGCTGGTCTCGTTACACGCCATGGGCAACGCAATCGTTTTATCATTGCATAGGCTGACGGGGCGGAATCCACCTCCTTGCCCTGCTGACATCATGATCCCGTTATGTATAGGCCTGAAGCGCCAAACTCCACCTATCATGAGACCGTCGCATCAGCAGTTCCTAGCCGTGATGCCGCCACCAACTCCTCCGGCTTAGCTCAAGTTTTATCGAATTCCAACGTTGAGAACTTCTCCATGAGCAGGTCTCTCAGCGCCCCATCATCCTCGAGCCATTGTGCGAGCATAAAAGACTTCTCTGCCCACTCCTTGGCTTTGGCGTCATTTTCTTGGACATAGTAATCGACAGCGCGGTTATATGTGGTAGTGGCAAGCCATGCGAGTTCGTCCTTGGGATAGCGATCAGATTCCTTCGAACCACCGTCAGCCGATTCCAAAAGATCTACGGCTGGCATTGGACTTGAGGATAGCGGGGGAGTGGCAAGTGCAAACATGGCAAGCTTTGAATGCACGATCTGGGGTGACGGATTAATGGCCAGTGGATGGCAAAATAAAGTTGGTACTCACGCCTTGTCTCGTCGCAGCCATCTGAGTGACCTGCTGGATACACTTGATACTCATGGTCTCGTCATGATCAAGCGAGAGGCTGAACAAGCATCGAATCCATCTGGAAAGCTTCGTCATGTCGCTGTTCCGTTGGCGACATGTCAAATTGATGATCTTCTGCAAGACCAACAACATCTCTACAGTAGCATTTAATACTGCATCGGGAATTTCACAGCTGTCCTACTTACTGCTTCGGTATTTATGATCCAAGTCCACCTTGACCATGCTTGAGTGAATCACCAGTACCAGGTCTGCCAATGTCTCATAGCGATCCGGACTCTTGTACTTCCAGCACTGGTCAAACAGGTCATCAAGCTCGTCCCACTTCTCCAGCTTCAAGACGGCTTCTAGTTCCAGTTTGACGATTTGGAAATGCTTTGAGATGATGTCGGCCTGCGCAGAACCTCCCAGCTTATCGATCCCTTCAGCAGCCGCGCTCCGAAAATCCTGACTATGACTGCGCACCTCAGTGTAGTATTGATACTACACTTGTTAGCAACGAATTGGACGTGATCATGACGGACTTGCGCATTGCTGAGCGTTGTCTTCGGCACGAGCCAAGGTAGTGTATGTACACGCAGCAAGAAATTTGCAAAACACAAGTCGGAGACAAAGATCACCTTCGTTGTCAGGCTTGTCCTGGTCTCTAAGAAGCTTGATGAACTGTAAAGATCAGCTTGTCCTGCTCTTCAGAGACCGATCCAGAACTAACCTCAGTGCAAGTGCTCAGTAACCGGACCAAGTCCTTTGGAGCCATTTCCGCACAGTACTTAAGCGCGAGGTTGTAGGCGTTTTTTGAGAACCACTCGAACTCTTCTACAGTGAATAGTTGCTGAGCAGGCGTGCTAGGTCTCCTTCGTGAGGCTTTGGCTTGGGAAGATGCTGGTGAACGTTCAGCACGCGCCATCTAGTCAGACTTCCCTTCGTACCTCCGTCAAAGACAGCACAGAGTTGTAACATGAGCCCAGAATCGATCTTACCATCATTGAGCAACTCTGACTGAAGTAGTCTTGCGGTACACCTGCAAGATTTAGCAGGGCAGCGCAGCGCCGAAAAGATCCTCACCTCAGGAGGGCTGGGAGATGGATCCCTGCCGGAGCGCTATAGTCGTACTTTTCAAGTACCCGTTCAAGAGCGCTAATAGCCTGTCGCTTGTCCCCAGCACTTTGAGCCTCCATCACACAAGCGTAGAGAAGCGTTGCATCTTTCGCGGAACTCCGACAGACATGGTCCAAGCATTGCGCAGCTAATCTGGTAAGCTCTACATTGACCCAACTCAAATGAAGTCCTCACCAAGGTCGAAATCACCGCTCTGAACTCCTACCTTGTACATTAGATATCGAGTGACAGGTTCATCTTTTCCAGTCTCGGGCATAGTGGAGTGAGCCGCTCTAGCGGCAACCCAATCTTGCCGCATTGAAGCACATTGGATGAGCTTTCTGTGCCATGTCAATAATCGATCGTGGTAAGCTCGGTGGGTAAATCTAACCTCGCGACCTTTGCTTTGTTCTGAACACCAGCTTTCTGGAATACTGAATGGAGGCACATGCGACACCAAGCCTCCGCGATAGTGTAATTTTTCTGCCCAAATGTAGCCTCTACCCGTTTCCAAAGAAGCTGGGGGATTGATGTCAGCAAAGTGGAAGGCCAGGAGCCAGCAGAGACGCACAGTTTGCGCTGCGTGAGTTGCTGGGGCAGATAACGACTCTATTGAGCTTTGTCCCACACTATCGAGCATTTCTTGAACTTGTTCAAGGGGGCTCTCCATGGATGAATTGTTTGTACTTATCCAGATGCGTGTAATGACCACTTTTTCGATCCATGTCTGATTCTCTTCGCGGAGAAGTCTGATTTCCAACAAGTCGTCGAGGGCTTTACATGCTGTAGTACTACTGCATCAAGTAAGTAAGTGATTGGGAAAGTCGCTCTTATGTCTCAGCAAACCTATGGTCTTTCAGCTTATGGATATGGTGCATCAGACTGTGAGGCCATTAGCATTGAGACAATCATTTACAGCTCAGACGCGGTGATGTCCATCTCAACATACGTCTTGAAGTTAGTGTCGTTCAATACAATGGTGCGAATCATCCGTAGAAGGACTTAAATCATTAGTATCATGTTGGGGAAGTAACAGTTGTACACTCACCATTGTAAAATTCTGCCGTGTTCATGGTCTCCGCCACGGAGAGTAGTTCGATCTTCAGTAGCGACACTATCATTTTGTCGCCAAAATCCTAGTTGATTTCAGCCTAAGCAACATGAGTGAGCGCGCAAGTCATGCTACATACTGTTTCCATTAGCTTTACCATGTCCCAGGCTTTGTCTTGTGCATCGGGTGTCTTCATCTTCATGTACGCCTGAACTGTAAGCTTGTCAGCTGTGTTGTCAAATTTCGCCTGAGAAACCTACCAATACTCTGCATTGTACTCAGCCGCAGTTCACTTATCTCCGGGCCGAGCCTGTCAGTCTCCTGCTCGCCCAAAATATCATACGTGCGGCCCAACCATCGCACGGCGACTTCATAAATCCGCTTTGTCAGAGCATCCTTCCCAATCTCGTACATGAGGTCTGCCAGGACTTCAGCCGTGTTGCATGCAAGGGCAGCCTTCAGTTGGCTACACTTGGCGAACATATGCTCTGCTGTGTCCATGCGATCTTGACGCCATGCCTGAGGAGTCTCTGGTCAGCCGAGTCTTGCAGCATCGGAAGGGATCAAACTACCAGAGTCATCCGTACTGCGAAGTACTCGACTCGCAAGCTGTTCGCAACTGTGGCTGCTTCGGGCTCTCCAGCCTGATCTTCCTTACCCAATACATCCTGATACTCTGCAGCCCGCTCCAAGATCTTTGTTGCATCGCGGAGCTCGTTGCTCTCTATGCACACCTTGGCCGCCTTGAGCGCAATCTTCATAAGACGGATGTAGTTTTTGTGTGAACGAGTTTTCGAGCACGAACCACCAGCAGAGTCGAGGAGTAGGAAAGAGAAGGTTCTGAGCAGACACAGAGCGCGATTCCTTTGAGATCCATCCCCGTTGGATACACCACCAGCGCTGGTCATATCGCGTCGTAGACGTGTCGACAGATTCCAGAGCTCGGTGCCTAGCCTATCCAGTTCGTCTTGCTTTGCACTGGTCGCCGATGACGCCGGCAGCGGTAGCCCGCGGATCTGAGCGCTGAGCTCAGTGATGATTGAAGCATCCACATCGCTTTCGAGACGCTTAGATAAAGCGGAGGCGAATGCTGCAGGTTAGATGTGAGTGTCCTGACGTGGGTTGAACAGGTGCGAGGGAAGACACTCACCCAGCGTCGACCTCAGCTTCTTTTCTCGCTCTGCTTTGGCTGTGGGTAAGCTTGGAGCCATCTCGCTCACTCCTTCTGGCTGTATCGTGAATCGAGGCAACACGGCAGACTGAAGACTCGCGAATTCCATGTGCGGATCAAGGAATGCACTGAAGACCTTATGAAGGAACAATTGTACATCGCGTCATTTCACGCGCCGATCTTTTTCAACCAGGAAGGAGCGCGCGACAAGTGCAACGACAAATCAGCTCATAACTTCATATCTACAGATTATATTAGGAGACGGGGCTTGTCAGGATATCCAGAGAAGCCGAGTCGTCAAGACAAAATTCAAACAAGTAATAACGCCATACTGTTGGACACATGATGTCTTTCAACCTAAACGCCAGCCCGATTGAACCAACAATTCGTACACATACACGCTTGCACACTGCATACGCCGTGCCTATGAGGCCGGCAATGAGCCAGAAGTCGCCTCGGTAATGGGTAGGAAGTTACCTACGATCAACGCCGGTCTGCCATTGTTAGTCCACGCTGACATCGCCAGAGATCATCTTCACCTACATATTCCACATATCCCGCTTGACAGTAAACGAGAAGCAGCATCGAATTTCTGGATCCTTGGAGTTTGGATCTGGATTCTTCAACGAGCAGCTTGTCAAGATTGCCTTTTGGGTGTGATCGAAGGCAATAGCACCAAACTTTTCCCAGTAGGACACCAGCGAAGGCTCCGCGATAATCTCATGTAACGCAATATTACCCTAAACCTGTCAGCTTGCCGGCTCAGCAGATTTGAACAAAAAGGCACTTACGTCTCTGAGCTTCGAGATGGGTGCATGAATCAGTCGAGCCATTTCTTTGTTGCCTCTGTAGATCTCGCCAGTTCTTCGCCAACAGCATGCCGGAATAGCCATGCTGGCAAAAACCCGATCATACTCCATCAAGCTCTTGTCAAACCACATTTCGATGCGCACCAAATCCACGTCGGTCAGCTTTTGCATTCGTTCGCGGAATTTAGGGCGGAACCTGTCCAGCTGTCGTAGCACTCGAACGCGTGAGATTTGTTGCAAATTCTGCTCCATGTACTGATTCAACCGAGCGTATCCTTTGACATAATTAAATGGTTTCAGCAATCCTGCATCCATCTTCGCTTTCAGCAGCTTGTTCATGCGCTCTTCCGGGCTGTCGGAGCTTGCACCGGCAGGATCGGCGGCTGTCATCAAATATCTCTCTCGTGCCTTGTCGATAGGTAGACGGCTTTGTGGACGTCTGATGGCATTGTCGGAAGTAGGCTGAGCAGGCGGTGGTAATAATTGGGAATTCCTGGGCGCATTAGGATTGAAGGCGGTATTGTCCGTCAGCGTTCCCATCGGGTTTAAAAGAGAAGCATCGGTGAACAATGTGTGGAGATCTCCGCCTCCATAGAAGGTATTGTCATCCATGAGACTGTTGTTGAGAAAATCGTTGAGAAGATTATACTCGTTACCAACCTCGGCGGTATTGAACATATATGACGGGTGGAATTGATGCATATCCGAAAAGTTATTTTGAGAAGAGAACATGTCGTCGTAGTTCATTACTTTTGCGACCTGTTAGTTACAAGCGCAAGTGAAGCTGAGCCAGAGTGTCACTCACGGGGCTGAGCAGCAGAGGTGAGAGAAGGTAGCTGTGGCGCGGATACGGAGTCGACCTGGGTGACTGACGCTGTGCTGCTAGCTTTATTAGCACTCCGAGGAGGAGGCGCTAGATCGAGCCCTGTATCTGGTGCAGTCGTTTGCTGGCTGATGAGCGTTGAAGAACTGTCGTTGGCCATGGCTTCGTTTTGTGTGCCGTCACCATGTCCATTGGAACCCTCTCGTTCTGACTTGGACTTCTTTACACTTTCTCTTGGCTCGTCGTGGCATAGATGCCCAATGTTTCGTTTTATACAACGCGTACATGGTCGCTCCTTTGTCATACGAACGATCAGCGAGTACTCACAGCACGTGCGATTCTGAATACACTTACGAGGTCGCAGGTCATGTGCTGGCCAATGTCAATCAGCAAAAGTCATTCATTCCATTCAATTCTCCGACCAACATGAAGGAGTCATGTATCGAGTGCTAGGAAGGCAGCTGCGGCTTACCGAGCGTCTGCAGTAAATGCATGCTACAAGGTCCTCAGATTAGCAAGAGGGTGCAGAATGTGAGGATACACAGCAGCCTAGCCTTACCGTGATTCACTTTTCTACGCCTCTTGGAGTTCTTCGATGACGTCTCTGGACTGGCTGCAGAAGAAGCCTTGTGTTTCGCAGGCGTCTTGTTCTTGGTCGCATTGATTTCGGAACCATCTTTGCTTGGCCCTGCATCTCTTGATTCGGTCATGTCGACTGCAGTAGCTCCATCGAGTCCGCGATCAGATTCCGTCATTCAAGGCCGTAGACTTGATACGTTTCAAACTGGATGCTTTTCTTGGATCCTCTCCACGAGCTGATGTGTGCTACAACAGCAGGCCCTAACCATGCGCGGGAGCACCGATTGTAGCTAGGTAAGCTTCAAGCGCTCTCCAGCACGTTTTATTGGAGGGTGTCACAGCCAGAGATATTATGGAAATAAGGATTGAAACGGAAGAGGAGCGGGGGGGGGGGACAGGGGGAGAGGGTGGGACTCTGGCGCAAAAGGACGTGGTCGTCGTGGGTGTATGTTCGAGGTCGCGTGGTTTGCCGGCTGCCTCGGGAAGATTCCGGGACAGCGCCTGGCAATTAGCGGGGCACTGCTACCATCCTCTCAGCCTCTTTCTTAGGCGGCTGCTTTGAGCGCTACTACTCTTACACTGGACTGGGCTTACACGCATCCCTGTATCAACTGTACTATTGCGACTGAGGAACGCCCAAAGGATAGAGACAGTACAGAATTGCGAGGATGTGCAGCTCGCAGACGGCCCCACTTGTGAAGGCAGTCCCACTACAGCGAGCTGGAGTTGTATACATAGGCTCAAAGGGAAACCACCTATCACCTTCTAGCACAGCGACACCATATCAAGAAACTCTTCGCTCGATGAGAGGCCTGCAGACCGAGTTCCGATGACCGCGTTGTCGGGTTGTGTCAAAATCTAAATCCAGGTGAAGCAATAGATCTGTACGATTCTCGCCTGCTTTGATCCCGTCCACCACGCTACCACTCCATGCGAACTGTATGCAGACGACCGTCGTTTCGTTCATTCGCTGACCATACGCGCGCCGTGGGGTATCAAAGAAAATGACACGTTTTCATCCAAAAGGAAATAAAAATAAAAAATCAATCCACACCCACACGATAGGCAAGGCAAACCAAACCCAGTACCGTGTACACCGCGCCAGGACGGACATTTGCATCATGCGTCCAGCGTGCCCTCGTGAGCCTATCACTGATAAAAGGACAGTCGTCTCCCCAACGCCAATCCCAACCCGCGCAGCAATAGTGCTGTGCCGCCTTTCTGACCTAGAAAGTAGCGTACTGCTGTGCAGTCGCGTGCCTGAAAAGCACATCATCCAACGCTGCCTGAGCATGGCTTACGGCCTCGTCAATGCCCTCGACCTGTGCATGATTCCCCTGCATGTTCTCAAGGCTGCGCCGGAGTTGCGCGAGGACAGGAGTAAGCTCAGCATCTGCCGTCTCCAATGACGATAGATCCATGCGCGTTGTTGGCTTGAGGTTGATTTCCTCAGCCCCATCGCCTTCGGCCTTGCTATCATCCTGGCCCTGTAGCAATGGATGGATCTACGAGACAAAATATCAGTTCCGAGTCCAACCAGGCGGAGCACAAAATAAGACTTACACGACCGCGCTTCTCCTGGTGCTTCCACTCGGCTCGCCACTTCTTCGTGTTCCTCTTCAGCTGGTCCAAGTTGTTCTCGTCCTTGTCCAGTAGACTCTGAGCAACCTTGACTTGTTCGGTAAGCAGCTGTTTCGAGTGCCGAGCCGTGGTAACCTCGCGTGAGACTTGTGCATTGCGCTCCGTAAGCTTGTCGATGTTGAAATGAATGTCTTTTGCCTGAGGAGGCATGCGCGAAGTTGCCAGTTGTCGTGATAGCTTCTTGACAAGCGGATTCAGTGTGTTGTGTGCTGCCATCACCCTACGCTCGTCTCGTTGCGCATTGGCAATGTCTTTCTTCGCCTCTCGTATCACAGCAACGACTTGCTCCAAGACTTGCGGAGGCACTTGCGGCCATGTGTCTATTTGTTCCTGTGCTATGCGCTTCGTCCTAGCCTCCAGCTGCAGGTAATTGTGGCGCGATTCGGGCTGTGGCTTGGCCATTGCATCGTCTTCGGTACGCCCTTTGCGCCTTCGTACCTGTGACGGTTGCGTCTGATCTGCGGAGAGTATCGATAGCTCATCCTCGTCCTCATCTACTCGCGATTGTTTCACTGGCTTTGACTTCCTCGCACGTTTCGGTTTCGCAGTCGTCTTAGTGACGACACCAGACTTCGTTGGACCCGGGGGTCGTCCTCTTCCTTTTTGAGATTTTGTCCGTTCTGATCGCTTCGGCGCCTTGTCATGATTAGTTTCTTAAGTTCTGGCAAAGGTGGAGGGATTTGCCTACCATGACGTGGTCGTGGAGTTGTTACGCGTTGGTCACTGGTGTTTGGGTGCGCGTGTGGGACAAACGTGTTCACGTGACATGGTGAACACTGAAGCTCCTGAGGTCACCCTGGACAGCTTCAAATTTGCCAGTATTCAGAAAGCCCACATTAATATAAAATTGGTTAAATCCGGTTTCCAGAATTAGACAGCTGTACATAGTTTAGAACATCTTGTCACAGCATCATGACGATAGGATGGCAAGTAGCCGCTACCCACGCGAGTTATAACAGGTACAAGATGGAGATAGATAGTTTATTTAGCTACAAAATACTCACAGATGATGGCAATGTAGGCAGTAAGGTACATGTCAAAGAAGAGATTCAAGGTATGCGAGATTTCTATGCTCATCCGGGCACAACAACGCTGAAGAACCCACAGCCTGGACCCCAGACGTTTGCCGAGGATACACTTCCATCTTCAGTTTCGTCTTTAGATGAACGTTCAATATCCGTTTGCTGGTCATTTAAATGGCTATGCTCATCATCCAGCTTGCTGTCGCGACGGACTGGAGGGCTGGTAGCAGATTTCGTGATTGCATGCAGTTGATCTTGGAGCTTCGAAATGTTAGCTTCGAGCTCGCTACGCTCCTCTTCCATAGTAGTACGAAGCAGGGAGATTTCCTGAGTGTGACGGGTGTGTAGTGTGCAAATCTCAGCCTCAAATTCCTTGATCTTTGAATCGTGCATAGCACGATGAATCGAACCGAGTGCCATGTTTTTTTGTTGCTCCTCTTCGAGCTTGGATATGACGGTTTTGCGCTCTTCAGCTTGGTCGTTGGCTTCGACTAGGCGCATGGTGAGAGTCTTGATGTGCTGCTCGAGAACCTGGACATGCTGAGTGTTATCGGTATCTAGACCCTGCGAGTCTTTGCCCTTGACTTGTGCTGACATGACTTGTTCCTGAAATTCCTCGTTGGCCTTTTGCTGGGTTGCCAACTGACGACGCAGCGAAGTGCACGTAGTGTGGAGAGTCCGGAAATTGCTAGCTTGTACCTTGATTTGCTTAGTATGTTGTTCGGTTTCAGCTCGTGCAGATTGTAGTTGCTCCTGAAGGTGACGAATATCAGCCTCGTAGCCAGCGGCGATTTGAGGAGATGTTGCAATGCTACCGTGGAGGTTCTGGTTTTCTTCGACGACAGGCAGATGTGAAGTATTTAAGACCTGGAGCTGGTCACACTCTTGCTGCTTCTGTGTTAGCGCCTCAGAGCACTTATGAAACATGTCTTGATTGAGCTGTGACTGGATCTCAAGCTCCTCACATCGGCGCGTCAAGCGCTTGTCTTCTGCCAGAAGATTGATGATTTTGGCGGTCACTTCGTCTACCACAGGCTCGAACGAACGAACAGAAGAATCAGGCGGCTTGACCGAGGGCGAAGTAGAAGCACCAGCTGAGGCCTGACTTTTAGCAAACATACCTAGAATTGCCATCTTGGTAGTACGCGGTGACACTAGAAACTTCGCAAGGGGGGTGAGTCTGGATGTCAGACTAGTGGGGCGGTGAATGTATGTCAGGGTACTCAGCAGTCCAATAGCTTTCAAAACCAGCGAAAGAAAAGGGCTAGAGATGATTCAGGCACAAGGCTTGGTGGATCGAAGGCTGGAAAGGAACAGGTTTAGCAATCTTTATGGACAGAAAGTGGATATGAACAATGTAGCACTGTGAGAGCGCAGCTCGAGAGTGCCAAAGCAGGTGAACACAATGTCATCATTGCCGAAGAAGACGACTGAAATTGTGTTCCCACACCTCCTGCGTCGTCATGAGGTTCACTGTGTGTGTGTGTGAGTGAGTGAGTGAGTGTGTGTGTGTGTGTGTGTGTGTGAGTGAGTGAGTGAGTGCTTGGCGGTTGCGTCACGACGGGCCTGACCTCGGGATGCGCGTGTGCGCAATGATCGGACGACAAGGTCTCACGACTTTCATCCCCCTCCCGCCACCTCCCCACTCCCCACTCCCCTCGGGCCCCTCCCCAGCCTGTGATGGGGGCTTCGACAGGGATATTTGCCATGGTGCCTTGGTTTCGCGTGCAGGCGGATGTGTGCATGTGTGCGAGTGTGCGTGCGTGTGTGTGTATTTGTGTGTTCAACCATCTTTAACGAGATGAGATTCGCTCATTCCCTTGGAATTCCCCTTTTCTGTCTCTCATAGCGCGCGTCAGGTTGCCAGCATGCTTCGCCTAAGCCGCAAGCTGCCAGTCGCCAGTTCCAGTGTCCGTGTCTGTACCTCTCCATGATGCTGGCTGGCCTACACACGAAAAATGTCGGAACAGACGGGTGGCAAGCTGGAGAGAAAGAACAGCAAGCGACAGAGACTTGGGCGATTCCTCCGCTCATGGCGACAGAAGCCACAGGCTCGTAATGATGCACATGTACGCTCCCATCACTCCTTGACTTCTACCTGCTTGTCTTTCCGAGCAAGCCTTTGGTATGGGTTATCGTTTAGTATGATGATCCGTGACGCGCAAGCTAATAGCGATCCGAAGATGCCAGCCGTTCCTGAGTCACAATCTCGACAGAAAACTTGGTTTGAGCCCAAGACTACGGATCCCCTTCACCCCAAGCCACAAGACAGATTCGCAGAAGAGGCAGAGAAACAAGACATAAAAGAGGCAGAGATACCAAGTATACAAGAGGCAGAGACAGGGCCGAAGCCACCTTCGACAGAAAGAGGACGACTGAAAGAGGAGGACAGGGTCACAGCCTTGACTGAGGATCAGCTCCGCGTACTCTTCGCTGGCGCCCCGCACTTCCACGTTAAGAGCGGCAACGGCAACCATGAGCCCTCGGTATCCTTTCCTTGGGATAGCGAGAACACCAAGGAGGATGCCTCCGACTCAGCTCCTCTCAAGGAGCGTGCATTCGCTGCAATGAGCCTACATAGTGGCGTCCATCTAGCCCAACCGTCTTTAGAAAAGGAAAAGACATACAAGGGATACACGCCAGACGTGGTCGAAATGCCCAACATGCTCGGTAGTCAAGGTGTCGAGCCAGGAAGTGTAGGCTTCTCTTACTTCGTCGGCTTGCCCGTCTCCGATAGTCTCGTCATCGATACAGAAGAGTCTCAGTCTGGCATGGACTATCTGGAAACGACTAGGAATAAGGAGCTGATGCAAACCAACCCCGAGAGGCTCGGTATACGATCCGCCGAGCTCACTCTCATCTACGATCGCTTGGTCGAGTTGCAAGACATGTATGAAGCGTTCCAGGATACTCCAGAACCCATGACCATTCTCAATAACCAGAGTTCCGGAGACTTGTATGCCAATCTGTTCTCCAAGTTCCTCATGCCACCAGGCTACGACGACTCCGTAGACGATCCGACTGGCTTGCAAATACAAATCATGACGTTGCTCCGGATACTGAAACTCAAGGGTGTCTGGTACGACTTCAGTCTAGTCGAATGGAGGATACGGCTGGGTCAAATCTTATGGAGCGATCCGGATGCGTACTCTGAGCTTGAATCTCATTCGCAATGGACGAAACGCGAGATATTGTTATTGCAGATTACGCTCTCGTGTGAACTGCTGCTACGTCTGGATGCCTTTACAAACATGGATGCTTTGGATGCTGAACTACGACTTCGAATCAATTTCAACGACATCACCGGTTTCCTCGAGGCAAAAAACATAAAGGTAGATTGGGATCTGGTCCTGGCTCGTACATTTCTTGAAAACATTTCAGTTATCAAAGGCAACGAGGTTGGTACGGTGGCGCAATCCAAGTCACGCGGACTAAAATCTCTCTGGGGAGGAAACGAGCCAACGGAATCGCCATTGGCAGATGTCATCTTTCTGCCACAACACCAGACCCAACAGCTGTCAGGATTATTTCATTTTGCGGAGACTATACGCTGGCCTGGCGCTGTGGATGTTATCAAAGAGCTAGGTAGTAAAGTAGGTGTACCCAACGCCACCGAGAGCATGCAGCAGCTTTCGTCTGTTGGCAAATCGCCTGACAACAGTACTCCGTATTGTATCAGCGTCTACGGAACGCCGCTTCACACACCCCTCCCATCCGAGCAGGCCATTGGCAGCTACTTTGGAGATGTTGGAAAACCTGCTATGGATCGTCGGGACTCGCAAGCATTGCGTGTGCCGCTCTCTCCTTCTCGCCCAACATCCAGTCATCACTCCCAACCTTTGTTGGAGGGAGTAGGCGGATGGCTAAGTCGTTCCTATTTGACCGGGCTGGTCCTTCCCGGCGAGGCCATCTCACACTATTTAATTTCCACATTGCTTGAAAACGACAAGTCCGCGATAAGTAGCCTTGGCGACTGTGCGAATCTCTACGGTGGCTTCACCTACCAGGAAAGGACATGGTGGAGCAAGCACTCGATTGTTGGTCGTGTCCTGGCTTGTTTAGATGGCTCCACAGAATGCATGGGCTGGATTTCATGTCCCAAGTTACCTTCTGGTCCCACTGGTTGGCACAATATCCACAGTGAGCAACTTCTGCACGATCGGCATTTACGCGTGACAGATGGTTATGATCCAATCTCTCGAGAATCAGCCATCATTCCAGAATCCGACATGGCTTCGGCTATATCCGAGGATCTCGTCTTGCCTTTAGATCCAGAGTTGCCTCCGATACCTGTCCTTGGCTTCTCGCACTGGGAGCTCACGCCGATCAACCCAGACTTGATCGACGACGACAACTGTGCCATGCTCTCGCCTGAACAGGACATTCAAACCGCATTGTTCACATTTGCTTCTCAAGATCAGACGCTGATCCAGACGTTGACACTGGCATACGATGTGTACTTCATCACTTCATGGCCTTGCAGCAAACCAGCTCCGGCCACCCCGTCAGTCGCCAGCTTACCTTATATCCTCAAGCGATCACGAGCAGGCACCTTGTCACGATCATCATCCAAACGAAGCATGACACTCTCGCGCCGCAACAGCCACGGCTTCGAGCCCTTGCTATCCCACCCACCCACCTCATCCACCATCACCCCCAAACGCACCTACGAAGTCGGCGCGGCAGATGACGCCGAAATCTTCAGCCCCCACCACCTGATCCCCCACGGCAAGCCATTGAGCGCCCATCCCCTGCACAAATCCTACCTCTACAAGATTGTGCCCGCAACCCGCATCCTCGAGCCGGACTTTGAACTCCCCTTTGAGATGCACACGTCCAAGTCGTCGGAGCGGCTGCTCTCTCTAGCCAACTCCCAGAATAGTGTCGCGGACACGATTGTCAATAACAAGAAGACGGTTCTTGTGCTGGATGCGCGCTCCTCGTCTGACGGGGAGTTGTTGGCGCGGGCTTGGTGTGCGGAAAAGGGTCTGCATGCGGTTGTTGGGAGGGCTACGCGGACGTGCTTGTCCTGTTGTATTCGTGAGGCGCGGGGGTTGAATGTCAGGATTGTGATTCGGGTCTGAGATGGTGGTCATGGTCATGGTTATGGTCACAAGCGTTCTTTGTTTTGATCTTTCTTTCTTCATCTTGGGTAGGCAAGACTGTGCGGCTGCATTACCTTTTTGTTCGCAGATTCTTGGGCGAGGAACCAAAGTCTCTATTTTCCTTTGTGATGGAAGGGTTTTTCTCTCTTGAATGGCATGATCTGCTCGAGCGGGCGCGTACATGGATAAATGGATACCCAGATTAGCGAAATGTGGATTTTTTTACTGTGCTGTGGGGATTGGGAGGGGAGAGCGAGTCCAATGTGTGAGAAGGGTTAGACTGGTGTCTCTTTTGTAATGATAGTTGATCACAATTTGAGTGTATGAGCCGTGGGCTAAGCTGTGATTCAAGATGGATAGGCGTGGGATGCCATGATGCTGAATTTTTGTCTATGCATACTTGTACGTAGCATATACAAACAAAGCTTCTTTCCACTCCCACCACACACTCCAAACAACCTCCCTACCCGACCTCTCTCCCCTGAACTATCTAACCACCTTCTCCACCTCGCCCTCAGCCTTCTCCACCACCTTCTTCAACTCGCCCTCCAACTGCCTACCCTCACTCCTCGCCACCTCGCCCGTCGCCTCCAGACTCTTGTTATACGCATAGATGCGACCGACCTGTGTTGCGCCGACGCAAAAGACGAGAAAGTTGACGGCCGCGAGGGCAATGTTCTTGGGGCGGATGACGAAGCACCAGCGGGTCCAGATGGCGCCCGTGCACATGAGGGCAAAGTTTTGGGTGAAGGAGAGGGATTCGGCGGGGCGGGAGAAGTCTGAGGCGCCGGCGAGGACCATGCCCCATTTCATGACTGGGGCCCTGTTTTGTGGGATTGAGGTTAATGGGGGGAAGTGTGTTTCAGGCCGTGGTGTAGTGTGGTGTAGTGTAATATAGTAGAGACAGTAGGGATTGGGAAGCAAGTGAGGGGAGATGTTGGTGGTGGACAAGAGACGTACCAGAAGTGCACCGTCTTGGGCCCAATGGGACTGTTCCAGAACTTTTGGAAGCCGGCTGGTTCAGCACCGGCGGCTGTGTTGACTCGTCTGCGGGCATGGGCGCGCTGGAAGAAGGGTCGGAAGGTGTTGAAGATGCGGGAGCCGGGGCGGAACGACATGATGGTGAAGGGGAGGGAGGGCGGCGACAGACGTCTTATATCGAGAGTATTTGGAAAGGGAGGCCGGCTATCGATCTCTCTCTTTTGTTTTGCTCCTGTCGTGGAGGGATTGTCTGGTGGGCTGCCGCGACAGCAAGTAAAAGACAGCAGTAGCCTTTGGGTCTTTTGGTTGTCGCGATGTCGGGGCTGACGGTTCCGCTGGGTTTTGCTTGGTAACCTGGGGGCGGGCGGTGGTTTGGAGGAAATCCGCGCGCCCGCTCGGGTCCGCAGCCGCTCTCGGCGCTAGTGTCGTTTTGGGACATTTCGCGATTGAGAGCGACAGAGAGAGTGAATGAGCACATGCCAATTGAATCTCCCTCCCACATAACACTCGCACCCCCAACCTCCCCGTCACGAGAAATGGCGTCGAAATATGCGTTTAGCCAGGGCTTGAAGGAGTTGCGCTTCTTGTTCTGCCAGACGAGCGAGCATAGTGCGCCGGTGAGGTATGTGTCTCGCGGGGAGGAGAGATGTCTTGACTCTTGCTCTCTCAGCGCCATGCCCGAGACGAAGCAAGGGAGAGAGGGGGGAGATATGATGCAAAGAGTCGCCGTGCTAACAAGAGAACCGACAGAAACTTCCTCACCCGAACCTATCCCACAATGAAGAAGCACAACCCCCACACCCCCATCATGATCCGCGAAGCCAGCGGCACCGAGCCCACCCTCTATGCGCGATTCGGTGCGTCCATGATCCAGTTTTCTGCTTCTTGATATAGTATTTAGGAGGTGGCAATGGATGCTGACGGAGCGGGTGTAGATTTTGGCAAGGAGAAAAGGGTGTCGTTGAAGGGACTGGACGACAAGGCTATCGAGCAGCAAGTCACGCAACTTGCGCAATCCACTATATAACCGTCGGCGGAGGAGATGCTGAGGAAACAACAGTGTACATGTGGGATGTGGGTTGTGGTTCGATACACTAATACCAATCATATATCCTGCTACAGTTGGCCGTCGGTGTCTTTCACCTTGGTCTTCACGCCCTGGCCATCATCTTGGGCCACTCATTGGATCTCTGACTGATGGACGATGAAATGGTGCTGATGGATAGAGCTCGATGAGCGAAAATGGGCTGTGAGCGTGTGGTTTGCTCAGTATGTCACTACACAAGCATTTGCATCTCCTGATATGCGCCCTTCACCTCTCCACGCGCGACTAACAGCCCACGACGAACATTAACGTAAACAATCCTTGCCTTGTTTTACCATTTTCTCCCGCACTCGCTCACCACAACAATCCATGATAAGAGTCGCCGCGAAACTGCGAGGGGAAGATGATGTGTAATTCTATAGCATGAATCGACAGATGATCAGGCCGACACACACGAGGCACTACATCAAAGCGTTCAGCCCAAGACTCAAGTCTGATTCAGACACCCCGTCAACACTAGAAGGGTCCAGCGTGTTAGCAAACCACGACATGTCACACTTGTATACCCTAGAGCGCCATATAACCAACCCATCGCACCACATCAACATCTAATCCACCGCCTCCTTGGTACAACCTGCTATCCTACCTATCACGAGACCCCGAACGCATTCCAAGGCAGGATACATACCTACCCTCTGTCTCAGCAAAACACACACACCCCATCACCTTGTAACTATAGCAGAAATGCCTCGAGCACTGTAGGTACGGTACCTACTACCTCCATCACAGCTCTGGTCCATCGCGCACAGACGCAACAGCCGAGTTTCGAGTTGATTGCGGGGTAAACCCAAATCCCTAACCTGAGACAAGGAGACTTTTTTCCGAGTATGAGGTCAGGCCAACTGTTCGGGTTGGGTACTGTGTAGGTATAGGTGCACACACTCACAGAGAGAGAAAGACATTGAGACACATTGGGAGAAAGTGTGCCCCGGACTCCGAAAGCATGGGGCGAATTGGGCTTGGCGGATGGGGCCGGAGTCCAGTGGCTAGGGTAGGGTAGTGTAGTTGGCTTGTACTACTATGCAGCTGGCTACTCAGTGCATACCCTCTTAGCTACGGTATCTTTGTCTTGTCTTGGAAGCCGGAAGCCGTGCGGGCGTGGGGGAGATTAGAGACTGGGACGAATTGCTGGCTTGAGCCTTTGCCCCACGATTTACAATGGAGCACGCACAGTCCCGAGACAAGCCTTTGTTGGATCCCTCCCTCCTCCTTCTGCTGCTGCTGTCGTCGGCACAGTCATGCTGGATCGTTTTGCAACACGTGCGTGTGTGTGAGTGTACAAGTATGTGGTCTGGGGGGTGGGCATGCATGGAACATGGGTGCAAAGACATGTAACTGAAGCACAGCGTGTAGCCAACAGCATCGCTTGACGCGATTTTGCCTCGATGGCGTTTGAGGGGTTAGTATGAATGCCAATACGGCAAACTTGCTATGCGGCGCGGCAAACCTGCTGTCTGCATCGTGCCTCAGATCAGTCTCGGTGGGCTGGGAATGCATCCGTCCCCCGAACAGGGCAAATGCTACCAGTTGCTAAAGGATTGAGAAGATTAATTGGAAAGAATGAACAGAGATATCAACGCCCTCTGGTGTCATGCGCTAGGGCACAGCCAATAGTTTCTTTTGTGAATTAGGCTTTCGATGTTTTTTTTTGTGGAGGCCCCTTTTCGAATCTCATGTCAGAAAGACTATTGTAGGTACTGTGTATGTGCATGGGATTTACGTCCGAATCCGTATAGCGACAACAAAGAAGCGTACAGTCACCTACGGACGTACGGTACCTTCTTCGTATACTCTGGGTAAGAATACGAGCCGCTAGACTCGGGTCGATCCCGTACCGCAGAATGGGTTCTTGCACACGAGAACGGAATCCTTGGAGAGGAAGAGGGGGGGGGACGTTAGCCATCCTTTCCAACTCTGGAGTACTACCGGTAGCTGAAGTCATCAGCTCTGTTTGCTTCTAGCATGTGCGCGCATCCACCGGTAACCTGCGGAAAGACATGCTGCTCGCCTTGGCAGCCTAAGGCAGCCTGCTGTCCTGTGGTCAAGCATGATCGTTGGCTTTTTGGCAATAGCCAACCTTGGGATCGTAAGTGTACGGAGTACTGTACTGTTGATCCTTAACGGCCGACTTTTCTCGGATCATTTGTTCCCATCTGTCCGGCTGGTCCTCGAGTCCCGACAGGTGCGGACGGCGAAAGATGCCTACTATGTAGGATATTTCCTGTAAGTACACATCTAGTAGGTAGGCACGACAAAAGACCGGCGGGGGGGGGTGAGTGGGTTTCTATAACTAGTAAGATGATGATGTGTAGGAATTTGGGTCGCGGGAAGATATGAAACAGGCAAGCGTACAGAAATATAGTATGTGAAGTTGTGAAGAGGACCAAGCCAGTTAGAAGGGCATGGGCCGGGCAAGATAGTATGGGGAGCACAGGTCAGCAATGGCCCCGGATCACGAAAGTTAGCATGTTAGCATGCATTCTGGTGGCTGAGTGTTCCTCGCGCCCCAAAATAGATTGCGGTCCAAGCGTCGATCGCTTCTGGTCGCGCATGGTGAAGGTCCGAACCGTCCGATGAATGACCGTCAACGGCACGTCAAAACATCGCCAGCTCGAGGTTGGCTTCCATTGAGGCCAGGAAGAGTGTATGGGACATTCATGCATTTGTAGCATGTGAGGGGTCAAAATGGGCTTCTCTCGCAACAGGATGGCTCACTGCTTACCAAAGCGGCTTGTGTACGACTGGACGACGGACTTCATCATACCTAGACACCATGTACCTATGGGCAGCCTGTCTCGGTCATCTCACGGACTCCTCTGGCCCCGGCACGCCACGTTTGGACTTATTCGACCGCCCCCGGCCATTGCGGGCAGTTCCCAGGTCTCTACGAGAGCCAAGCTACGCCTAGCTATTTTGAATCCGGCTGGTATACTGTTGCCCTGCCACCATGATCGTGATGTTTGCCAGTTGGCTCCCGTCAGACTTTACTCACAGCTTCTCTCCCATTTAAGATCGGCACAGGGTTGAAACTGACGTCCATAAGAACCACGG